ATCATTAGTGCTTGTGAAAAAAATTGTTATACAAATTTTATGTACCCCCTTTAAGGGGCTGTATCTTAACAAGGGATGTTCCAATGAAATTTCTTCATATGAAAGATCATATCTTCTTTTTCGATGAAGAATCACCTTTTCAAATGTTTTACACTTATTTAGTTACACCCTGTATTTGATATTAATTTTTTCTAGAAGTCTCGGGGGAAATATGGATAATATAATAAAACAAGTTATTCCAATCATAATAATGTAGCATATTTGGGATTGGATCTATTAGAGAAACTACACAAAGAAACATTACTGAATTTATCTAACTTTCATTGAGTGAGAGATTTCCCACTTGAATTCCAACTTTTGAATAAGGTTATATTTCATGTTATAGTAGTTATTGTAGTTCCTCGGATATTTCGAATTCCATGTTTGAATAAAGGCGACTTTCCCGAAAAAAAGGCTGGGCATATTCTTCGAAGATTTTTTTTTAAATAAAATAGATAAACAGTTAGTATTTTTCGTACTTCTAATATTTCCGGAGTTTGGCGAAAAAAATATTTTTTTTAACATCAAATAATTCGAAAAACTCCAATGTAAAATAAACGTTTAGCCGAAAAATTTTCCGGTTGCAATTCAAACAGCAAATGGACCTCTTCAGCATAAATAGTATTTAATTGATATACTTTTTGTATGGTTTATTGAAACGCAATAATGCTTTTGTAATGTTATTTATTATCAGGTTTTTGTTTGTTAATATTTATTCTTCTTTTTGTGAATTATTTCCCTAAAAACCACATAATTTCAGAGCAAAAATGTCCAGTTTTCTCCATAAAATGCTGCATCCGGAAATCACTATCTTCCATTATGAATGTTACAACAGCAAATATTTATTTTACGGAAAGAATACGTTTGAATTAGAAATATCTTATAGATTCAGGTATATTGAATTTTCAGCTCTAAAATAAAGTATTTCAAAGACAATTTTTTTTTGATATTTTGTGAATATGAAGGTATTAAGTTGTTATTGTTTTTTATTTTTTCAAACTCCAGTCCTCATGTGAAAGAAACAATCACCGAACGTATGATTCAGAAATTAATTCACTCTTTCTTTTTCAAAGAATTGAAAAATTTCATTGGGATATTTGATATACATGAATGAAAATTGTCATTCCTGTCTACAAACCGTGATTTTTCCGTCGACAAATTCGACCCAAAATAACCTATTAAAAGTAAAGACAAGGTTTACTTTCGGTTCGAGCTGCCCCAACCACAAACACTTGACTGCATAAACAAAAGTATGAACTTGAAATGAAATATAACTGAAGGATTTTTTTATCCAAGGGACCATATCGTATAAAGATTTTGTTTGTAGCTTTTCCGCGTTGGCTACTCTGTTTATATGTCACTGGTGTCAAGTGTCATCTTGATTGCTTTTTTTTCTGATTGATGTTATTCACTGCGAAAACGCTATTGTGATAGCGAAACATGTGATATTTTTGAAAATAGAGTTGGTGAAGATCAAATCGTTAGGTGTAGTTTGTGGGATAAATTGTTTTCACTTCAACTCAAGCTCATTGAAAAATGAATACAATGAAAACGACTTTCAAACAGCAGAAATAACTCAAAAATGGACAGGGGCATGTGGTACTACTGTGAGAACTAGAATAGCCAACCGAAAAAGAAAAATAAAAGTGCTTCAAACAGAATTCTTGTCCAATATGGCCGCGAACAAGTAGTTACCTAGTCTAGACATATGCGAACAGGCAGATAGTTGTTCGATATTGAATAAAATAACATTACGAGTATTACTTTTTCATGAATGTTCTGATGGAGTTAGGGTCAAAAATGAGTCAAAACTTGAATCGAAGGAGTTATATTTTCAGGAGTGATTAATTTTTGAGAAAGAAAGTTTTTGGCTTTCTACTACTCCATCTTGATACAAAAACAGATGAGGGAACGTCCCAAAGAAAGGAAGGAAGTAATCAATTTGAAAATAGGTAACTCTATACATGGATGTGTAGATCATGCATAGAAGTAACTTTCAGACACAAACTGGAAGAAAGTCCTCCTGAAACAGCTACTTTCATACAAACATTGAATTACAAGAAAGAAAAAAAAATATTCTGAAACAAAATACTTCTATATGAACACTGAATTATACAGAAGATACTTTTCTCTGTTTAGTTTGTAATTCAAACATTCGTTGTGGAATAAAATCAGATATCATTCTCATGAGTTCTACTTTAAATGAATGGTAACAAATTGCACTTACATGGAACACTGTCATCCTCACTGGTATACATCGATGTTTCGCCGTAAGACACTTGCCCTAAGGCTCTTCAGTATCAAATTGGATAACATTATAGAAAATACACACAATTCATTCATGAATTATGTGTTCATATAGAAGTATTTGTTTCGAAATAATTTTTTTCTTCTTTCGTGTAATTCAATGTTTATATGAAAGTAGCTGTTTTAGGAGGACTTTCTTTCAGTTTGTGTCTGAAAGTTACTTCTTTGCATGATCTGCACATCCATGTATAGAGTTACCTATTTTCAAATTGATTAAGTACGTCGTTCCTTTCTTTGGAAGATTCCGTCATCTTTTTTTTTGTATCCAGATGGAGTAGTAGAAAGCCAAAAACTTTCTTTCCCAAAAGAGGCAAAACAATAAACCGAAATGTTCGGTCGAATCAAAACTAATTTATTTTTGACCTACTCTCCACCTCTTCAATATACTAATAATGGGTCACCAAAACAACTCAACATTTTCATTATTGTGGAAATAAAGTACGCTGATGCGAGTGTTTGCTGAAGAGATTTCCAACCTAAGGTCCATAGTACTCGTAAATACCCTTGACAATATCCAGAGATGGACTATATTCGTGATATACCCTCCTTGTTCTTCTTGTGGGTGAATATCTGCTAGCTCGCGACTGACGACCATTCGGAATTGGTACTCCATAAGAAGTTTTTGGGGGTAGATACCGACTAGAACTTTCAAAAGAAGCACTCGATGACTCCTTAGAAATTAGACTGATAGCTCTGTCTGGAACTCCATAATTTGATTTCGGTGGCAGATAAACTTGTTCTGCACGAGGGGGTGAGATGTTGCTCGTGGGTGGACCGTATTGGCTTGCTATCTCCGAGGCAAAGCTTGGTTGGAGCTTTGGGACTGGAGGCTTGTCTTCGTTTTGTTTTTCTAATGGAATAACGTACCTTGTTGGTCCGACTTGACCAGAAGAGTCGACTGACGCCTCATTTGATGATGTTTCTGTCGATCCTTCGAAAGAACTGTAAGCAGTCGATGGAGATTCATACCGTTCAACTGGAGAAGGAGGTTTGGGCTTTGCTTCGTGTGATTCAATTACTGGAGCTTGTGGTTTGTTTTCCGGTGAGGAACCTTGTGGCGGCAGATATTCACTGGGAATAATCAACGGCTTGCTAGCAGGCGCTTCAGCAGTTTCACTCTGTGAAGAGTAATTATACCCTCCTGCTTCAACTGCACCATTTTCTTTGTTAATGCCATAGTTGATGAAGTATACTTCAGGAGCCGGTGGTTTTGTTGATGGAGGCGTTGGTAGAATAACTTCGGGTTGTTCTTCAGGCTTCTTCGACAGGACATAAACTATTGTTTTCTCATCGTTCCTCGGTGGTAGTACTTGTGGAGGTGCTGGGGGCGCTGGAGCTTCTGGCGCTTTGATGAAGATGATTTTGTAGTTCTTCTTTGGTGGTGGGGGTTTCACGTGTGGTTTTGGGGGAGCGGGTTTTTTCTGATCTGCTGGTGATTTAAAGAAATAAATGAATTTGTTTATTTCTTCTGCTGAGTTTTCTTCCGAGTAGCCACCGCTGTATTCATCTGCTGAAGATGCATAATTCTGTGGTATAGGGTAGGAATAACCAGAATCAGCTGGCGCTTCTCCATACACGACGAGGATGAAACTGAAGATGCACTGCAAGCAAATAACGTTGAAATTATCCACTACGAATCAATGAAAGAGTTAACAGAAAATAACATCTTCCAAAGTATTTAAGATCAATTTTCAAACCAAAGTTCTTGAACATGGAGGTACACAAATCGAAAAGGCTGATGAGCATCCATGAAAAGTGATTAATGAACTTTATATACACTCAACTGGAAAATGAGTATCGCTAGTGAATTTTAGTAAATTTTATGCTGATTAAGAAAACTATAACTACAATTTTGAAGTTCTAATTCAGTTGTTGTCAAGTTGTTAAGGATTTGCAGTGATGTTTTTCATTTGGTAATAACACTGAAACATTTTGACCGTCTGTTGTAATTTTAATATCATCATTATACCGGGTCCTTTCAAAGAGTGATTAAAATAAATTTTTAGTGATAGGTCTGACCAGTTTACTATTTAAATTTTGGATTATAAGCGGCAAGAGATAGAAAGTCTGGAAAATTGTCCTAGAGTTGCCTATTTTACAGTATGTTTATCATTGAATATCAACAAAATTGACTCTAGGTTTTGGTTACGGACATATAAGAGAATTACCGAAAAATTTCGAAATTAATTTCTGGCTGTAACTCCTTCATGAGCAGTGATTTTAAAAATTTGTTTATACTTTATCACGAGAATTCATTCATGGATGTTTCTCAAATTCATTTAATATTGAGAAATTCAATTATTCCTGATAATTTAATGAAGCATTACTTATGAGTTTCAATTTTTTCACAACATATATTAGGACCAGGCACTAAAGAACTTTAAGATTTTTTAAAATAATGAAGATCTGGCATTCAAGGGCTCTTGGACTCTAACTTTTGAAACTTCACATATGTTTCAAATCAGGAAAAATAAATCTAGTTACATGATAATCCTTAAACATCTGGGCATTGTACGACGTAGAAAACCAGGTACCTATTTAGGTAGTTGGTGCCGTATCCACTAAAATAATATTCTAGGTATTTACAACTTTTAATCGAGAGATTATAAGAGCCAAAATGAAAATACACTTAGTTTTCTGGTGATTATTCTGTACAAAAGTTCTTCTCGAATACCAGTTTCAAACAATGAAATTTCTGAATTCAGTGATATTGCAATATATCTTTAGTTCTGTTAATAATAATACAGCAATCCCAATCCATATTTTCCACATTGTGGAAATCCTTATGTTATAAAATAATTTTTCAATCTTCTATTACCTAGTTTCTGATGAAAAGTAAGGATATTGGTAAACTGATTTTTTATGTTCGTTATAATTACGATTTTGAGTTTGACATTAAAAAAACACAACTTAGATGTTCTGTGTTTCTCCGAATAGAAATCATTTTTTATTTATTTTGTAATTTCAATTTCACTAGTTGAAAATCAAAGTATTTAAAGGTCAGTCGGTAGCCAAGCGGTTCGGCGTGGGTGCTTTGTTCACTCACTCGAATTGTTGGTCGGTGGTTCAAGCCCTAGTCTGAACGATCGATCTTCACTTGCTACCGTCCAACCCGTGTTAGGAATCACACGTTAAAAGGTAAAACCTCGTTAATCCTTAGCTCGCACAAGTTTCGACTTCTGAGGGTTGTCGTTCGTAGGGGTGCGACAGCTGGTTAACGGAAAAAACAGATTTTAAACAGATAAAAAATTCAAAACTGACCTAAAGACGTATTCGTCAGTTGCAATGATATTTCATGAGGTTTGTAGAAAATTACTTTTAATTAATTATGTTTTTTTCGAATCCAGGTTGATAATAATTGTATAAAGCAAGAATTTGTGAAGAATGAAAGTAATTCAATAAATTTCAATGAAAAGTTGAGTCGCAAAACAAAAGAAAAAGTCAACTATATATCAAATTTGTATACAATAACACGATACTTTTCATTGAATTGTATTTTTCATTCCGCTATTTGAAATAAATCATGTATGTAATAAAATATCTTCTTACCAATAACCTCCTCATGGTCCGGATTGTTTTAACTCTTCACAGAATATCCTGTGGTTATCTAGGCTTATGAAGGCCGTTTGTTTGTCCCTCCTCGAAACTGATTATAATTGTAAACAAATTACTGCAACGAATGATAATCAAATTATAATATCTGCCTTCTTCACATATTACCTCTTTTACATAACGTTATGTGTATGAAAACAATGAAATTTTCTTCGCAATCGTTTTGTTGACTTTACTTTCCATTTCATCGGAATAATTTATACAAGCAGACCTTTTTCTCTACCGGATATCTGTCATTCAGCTATATATCAATCACTATTTGGTTTCAAAATTCGGGTCAATCCTTTTTTTTCAACTTTCATTGTGCGTCTATAATATCTCAGTGAATAGTTATTCAATTCAATCGAAATAGGCGCCATTTGAATCCAGTGCACTTTTGTCAACGTGACACAAGCCAGTAGATAAATTGTATGCTCGGGATTCGAAGAAGTTGACAAAGGCCGTTTTCACCTGATCCTGGTTGGCGAAGGTTCTACCGGTAAGAAACTTATCGAAGTGCTTGAAAAGATGGTAGTCGGTTCACGAGGGGTCTGGGTAGTATGCTGCGTGAGGTAGAACTCTATCGCTCTATTCGTTTAATTTTTGGACGATGATTCGTGAAACCATGCGGACGAGCGTTGTCGTGGAGCAGTATCGGACCTCTTCTGGTGACCAGTGTTGGCTGCTGCTGGGCTCTGCTGTGATGGTTTTCAGAAAGAAATAATGAATCACACCAGCCGCTGATCACCATTCAGTAACCATGGTCTTTGTTTGGTGTGTTTTCGCCTTTGTGAAATGCCTGGGCGGCTCATCGGTGTCCAACCAATGCCCTGAACATCTCCTGTTGTCGTAGACGCGACGTGACGATCCGATCCAAAAAAGGATCTGAACTAAGAAAGGCTAGCGTGAGAGCTGTTTTCCAGTTTTTTGCTCGTGATCTGCAGGTTTATATGTCTGACGTTTCATCTTCTACTGCGGTAGACATTATCATTTAATACATATTTAATACATATTCATTTAAATTGTCTCAGTAGAGTAATTGCCTAGTAAATGTCATAATCATGATACAAATTAAACCTGTGAATTTATGTAGAAGCATTTATGTAGCAGTTGGAAACCTCGGAACTTCCCCTTACCAGAAAACCAATCAAAGTTTCGCATGCAAGCGCAGTCTCGCTTCATGTTCCTATTTTATAATTTCTGAATGTATTTGATGTGAGAATAAATATTAGTGTTACCTTGTTTCGAGTCGATGGCATATGTTATAATAGTGCATGTGTTTATTTCATTTATCAAGAATAAGGTAATAAGTATTTATTATGCTCACACTCATATTTTTTTTTTAGTTTTCCTTACAAAACATTACATGTCTAAAAATTATGTCTGTTATGCATTCAAATATGATTAACAATACATCCACTTGACTGACCGAGATAAAAATTCGATAATTTCAAGAGTATCTGCAATAACATGTTTACATTGACTTGATTAGTGTCAGTGACTTTGACTAGAGACTGCATACGGCGACCTAGACATGATTTTTTTTTATTTCTTTTGAGTTGGTTTTTGAAGTGATAACTTCTTATGGACGGCTAAACCGTTTGGTAATGTAACGCACAACCGGCGCCAGAATGTCTGACTTATCTTGGTCATGACTAAGTGTTCAGTGTGCGATCGACATACACTATTGACAGTGAGCATATAACGTCAAACTATCACCACTTCTGAAAGTGATTATAAAAAATTTGATGAAACAAGCAGATGATGATCCCCGGAACATTACAAAATCTCCTAACGATTTTATATATCTTTAGCGACACTACTTCGATATATAAATACACACATACATACATATTAACGTTTGTATTTATTGTAATACTAAATGACTGTAAGCAATATATATTCAAAACAGCATGCTATAATAAATATGGTCTGACCCTTGTGGACCTGTACGTTGAGGAGGTTGCGTTAATGGCCATGTTACGATTGTGCACGGCTGGTGTAAACCTCGAAGTAGGAATGAGTCAATTGAGGCTGGGCCTATGGTGAGAAGCGATCACTGCCCAACCTCTGCTGCAGGGAACCAGTCATGCAATTCTGTTTAAAATCTGTTTTTCCGTTAACCAGCTGTCGCACCCCTACGAACGACAACCCTCAGAAGTCGAAACTTGTGCGAGCTAAGGATTAACGAGGTCTTACCTTTTAACGT